TGCAGAAACACTTCAGTTTGCCTCAGAGCAACCATTTGGACCTGAGGGCCAAGAAGTTCTCTGTAGGCATGGTTCAGAGGGAAAGTAAGTGCTGGTGCCAGGCAAAGCTGATTTCCCAGTGGTGGGTTTGTGTGTATAATATAATAGTGGTATTGTATTACAATGTTATAATGCCTAACAGGACTAGAATAACTCTACTTTTATCTCTGGAACTTTAATAACAACTACAGGCTACTAGGTGTATGGCTAGCTAATTAAAATGTCTGGGTAGGTGAGTTTGGTTGAATCTCAGTAATTCTGGATTTAAAAAGTAGCAGTAACCACCTTATTAGGACTCCAGGAGAAGCCTCAGGCCTCTGTTCTGGGCTTTTGATACCATCACGTTCTGGCAGAGGTCAGTTTATAACTTGTGCTGTGAGTCAAAGCGTAATAAGCAGCTAGCTGGTGAACATAAAGTTAGTAAAGATAGCAACTCACCTCATTACCACATTTCTGCTCTCTCTTTTATCATTCCCAGCCCCTTAAAAGTAGGGCTACCTGATCCTCGCTGGTGGGAGGTTTACTCTGTTTTCAGTCCACTTCACTCTAGGAATGTCACTGTGATGGTTACATCAAGAGCCAAGTGACCTTGGGGACCTCTTCCCAGTAATGCCAGTCAATGAAATGAAAATTAAGTGTTGATGACATGCATGAGACACATTTCAGTTGCCCCTTGGGTTTTGACTGGAGATGGAAGTTAGGCTGTCTCTTCACAGAGCTGTCTACTGGCAGGGGCAAGAGCTGAGGGATGGAGAGAACAGGAGCAGAGCAAGTGGTGCAAAGCAGGCATGAGCAGGAGTGGTGAAAGCTGAAGTGCATGCTTCAGTCTCAGAACTTGAGGGCACAAACAGAGCTAGTGGGATCAGAAACAGACTTTGGAGTAGAGTGAGGGAGAAGCTGGAGCAGCTAAATGGTAGAAGATTGTCATGTCAGCCTGTTGTGTAGGCTAAGCAGCTGATGCCATTTAATCTGCATGGTTCTTGTTTTGCTGTGCAAAGGCTGCAGCTTTCTCTGTAAGAGCTTCTGTGTCGTGTTTGTAGCAAGTAAGCACAGAAGCTCACACAGGTTGTTACTTGCACTCTGGGCTGAAGGTTCAGTCTCATTTAGAGAGGCTAAAAATTCTGTTTCCCTTTCTGACATTATGCTTGGAAATTCTCTTTTTAAGAAAAAAAAACTTGTTACTGCACCTGAGTTTGAAGATGCTGTTAGACAAACTTATAGGCTTTGCCATCCAGGGCTACAAATGGTAGCAGCTGTATTCCAGTGCAGCATTTAATTTTCATCTATGCTACATTTGAGGGATTCTCTGAAGCAGCAATGAGGTGCATACCCCTCCCTCTGCAAGCAGAAGCTGCTCTGCATGCTTCAAGACTGGCAGAATCAGTCAAAACAAGTATTTAAACAAGTCATTAATTTCTTCTTCAAATAAGAAGTATGTGAGGCAAGTTGTTTTTTCATGGGGTTCATTCCAGGTAACTTAATCAGTTTGAAATACTTGCTCCAACAAGACTAACACAGCTGCCTGGGGAGCAGGTTGCTCACAGCCATATTAGATGTGAGGTGTTAATGCAGGGAAGTGCCACTGTTGCTCTTCAAGGAGCAGAAGAGGTGGGGGGAGTCAGGAGCAGGTCATCAGTGCTGTAAATTCACCACTGCTTGTGACAAGTGGTCCAAAGCTGCTCAAGCCATTTCATTCCTGACCAGGCACTCATCTGCAGAGCAGGGTATGTACAACGAAGGACAAGCCCCTGCTCATCCTAGGTGCTGAGGAGCAGGTTGTACTGCAGGCAGGTAACACTCCACAGCTCCTTCCTTAGTCCTTCTATATAAACAGGTACCATTTCTGATTTTATTTCATCGTAACATACAGGTAATGCTCATGACACAACACGATGATAAACTCACACCTCTCTGAACCATTTGAACAGCTTACCATACACCAAATATGCCATACACCAAATGCCATACATTATATTCATATGGAACATGTACACATTTCCCCTCTCGCATCCTCCACTTTGCTTTCCAGACTCCTACAACCCATTTCCAGCATTGGTCAGGGACAGGACTCTAGTTCAGATAGGATCCAGGGCAGCATCCTGTGCAGGACATAGGATTAAGGCTTCTGCCTATGGGAACCTGTCCCCTAAAAATACTGAGCCTACAATTTTGATTCATTCAGGGACTAGAGTGTATTGGAAATCACGAGGAGCCACAAAACCAGATCTCAGTTTCTCTGACTGCAATTAACCAAACAAAACCCAAAAACTTGTATTTATATGTGTAGAGAGAAGGGGAGAACACACATGTCTGAAGGAGCACAAAAGACAGGAAGAATCTGTTTCAGCCTCTAGGAATTGATATGTGTTAACCCCCATTAACTGGTTTAAATCAAAGACATGGGCTTTCCCTAAAATGTGTCTGAGAGGAGTACTGTTAAACTGTTTACATAGGTGTATATACACACAGAGAGTGTGTATATGTGCTGAAAAGAGTTGTAATGTAATCACTTTCACTTGATATATAAACAGAGACAAGTGGCAGTGTGTTTAATGAACAGCCAAGACCTGACATGCTTTCCAGTGTGCTGTCAACCTGTCCTTTGCCCAGGCTACCCCTTCTTCCAGCATCTCATACACACAACAGCATAAACAGCCTCTGGGGTCAGTGACTCCTGGTGTTGCCTCTCTCTGTGCCTTTTGCACTTTTTAGGATCAAGTTAATCAATGCTGTAGCTTTCAGTGCTATTTTCAACAGTCCACTGTAGGAAATTAAAGTCACATCCTAGTCACAAAACAAAACAATGACAAAATCTTCTCCACTTTTCAATATAGTAAAACCTGAGATTTGAGTCACAAACTAGCTAAACTTACAGTAAAAAACCAAACATAACCCAAGCTGCTGACTTGAATTAGGGCTTCAGTTTGCTGCTGACAATTTTTTTTTTTAAAGCTGTTGGCCAGGGGTAAGTATTTGTTATATGTGATTTACAATTTTCAGCTGCCTGCATTGAAATGGGACAAAGCAATACGGTTTCCTCCTGATACATGTGTTCTCAGAGGTGCTGGGGAAGCCCCAGGTACCAGGTGTGCAGCTCCCCTGGGAGCAGGAAGGTTTCTGCAGTGCCTCTGGTTCACCCCTCGCTGACTATAACCAGCGTGAGCAGTGGCAGCCAAGGTACTGTGAGTGGTGAGCTGGAGGGGAAGCAGCTGGATTGCTGTCAAGAACAGGAGAAGGGCTGTGCCTAATCTCCCGTGAAACACCCCTGCTGGCAGCAGGGACATGACACCCCTTGGAGCTGACGTCTGCCCTGGGGTGAGGAGGATGAGGACACAGTCCCAGCCAAGCAGCAGCACAGTCTTGAGCATCTGCAGCCAAATCATGTGTCAGCATGATGGGAAACCAAGACCCTACAATGGGACAGAGAACAATGGCCAGGATCGAGTTCCTCGGAAGCCATGAGTGTGGGAGGTGAGTGGCTTCCTTTTAAAGCTGTCTCTTCTCAAAGCCCCTTTCTTAAATACCACATTATGAGATGGGATAGTGGAGGTTCCCTTCTGTTTTCCTTGGACAGCCAGTCAGACTTCTGTCAGATGAAGTCAGCAAAAAAGTAATGAGAGACATCTCTCTCCCAGTCCCCATCCATGCTGGGATGGAAAAAACCCAAGCACCTGCATTGCTCCCACCCCATGCAGGACTGGGACCATATATGAAGAACAGTTTCTCAATGGTACTGCTCAGTTAAGGGCAAAAGCCCATCCCAACTCATTTTTAGCTTAAATCTCCTCCCCCCAACAGAACAAAAAAACCAAGGAGAGCCTCCTATTGAATTGTTAATTGGCAAGAAAAGCAGGTTACTGCCACTTGTACCAGCCACTTCTCTTGCATGTAACCATACCTATCAACCACTCCAGTAGAGCTTAGAAGCCAAAGCAGCTACTCCTCTCCCAGAAGCCAGATGAATATTAAAAATACAAATAGTGTATCAAAAGACCTGGGGGAAACAGTCCTAAGTATGGTTCGTTCATCTTTTGTTAAGAGTTGCTGCTGAGCCAACTGAAACACTTGTGCATAGACAGCTTTAAAAAAAAAAAGGTCAGCCGTGGCTAGTAGCTCCTTGTTCACATTGCATGAACTGACTCCCAGCACGAGGCAGCCATACAGCCCTAGTTTATTTTTTATATTTTTTGAGGTACTGGGTTTATTTTTCTCTGAAGCAGCTTTCTAGCGAATCACCTAAAGCCTATCCCTCAGAACAATAGTTACACCAGTATTTACATGTGTCTGAACTGTGTGTTCAGATGAGCCTTGCTGTAACCGGTCCCTATGTCCTTTGGAATCGCTCCCAGTCTCCTTTATTACAGGAAAAAGGTCTCCATCCAGAGGTTGGCTCAGTGTCAGGGCTAAGGTGCACTGGTGAAGACGTGGGGCACGAGGAGGGGAGGACAAAACTAGTTTTGACGGGTAAGGAGCGTGTTTCAGTGGAACCAGAGAAAGGGTTTGATACCAGGAGAGCTTCCTTTTTAAAAACCACTGAAAGAATGTGCAATCCATTGCATATAACTGCTTCCTCTGTCAGGGA